CCCAGGGTGCTATGTACCTACTGTGCTCTGGGCCCCAGGGTGCTATGTACATAAGGTGCTCTGTGCCAGGGGTACATGCTGGAATGCAGAAGAGAGAACAGGACCTGTCCCCTGAAGAAGGCAAAGCCCAGGGTGGCATAAAATGAACACTAACAACAAAATCCAAGAAAACAGAGTGAGGTAGCGGGCAGCTTCCCAACATTGTCTCTCTTCTGCATTTTTTGTCTTATCTCTGCTTTTATAATGTTCACATTTTTATTTGAGAGTGAGACTATTTTTTTAAAGAAACTACTCGATGTAGCATGAACATAATGTATGAAAGAAACTCAGAGTGATTCCAGAATGTGAAATCATCACAGTGGGCCAGGCCTGGTGGCACACACCTGTGACCCCAGCACTCAGGAGGCTGAGGCAGGAGGATCACTATGAGCTCAAGGCCAGCCTGGAGTACATAGCGAGACCCTGTCCAAAATAAAATAATAAAGGGGAACATTAAAATAAAGCGGCCACACTAACAGTTTTGGGAGTGAGTGTGACAGCCTTCTCAGGACACTCCTCAGCGTCGCCCCTGAAGTAGCAGAAGTCCCTCTAGGCCTCGGTCCTGTGGCCCCCGTGACAGCTTGCACCATCCTCATTGATTAATATCTACTTTCCTTACTCAAACTAAGCACTTATGATGGTATATATCATGTGCCAAATGTCACCTGTGTATTTTTTTTTTTCTTTTCTTTTTCTAATGTATTTAGGACAGGGTCTACAAGGTCTCACTACTAGATCCGACTCATAGTGATTCTCCCGTTTTCAGCCTCCCAAGCGCTGGGATTACAGACGCATATCACTGTTCAATCGCTGTCTCAGTGTGCCCCAGGGGCAGGGCCGGCACGGCAGGCCAGGGATCGAACCGCTGGCCCCTGTGCCTGTTTGCAGGTGCTTTAATCGGCTGAGCTATTTGGCCAGCCCTCCAGTCTGCTTTTAAAGACAGGGTTTCCCAAAGGGGAAACTGATGTTGAGGTAGGGTTCCAACTGGCCACCCTCCTGCGGGCACTATGACCTGGCGTCTCCCCATCCATCCCGGCCCCTCCCGTCCCCAGAGAGACGCAAGGAACTGCTGTGCACACAAGGTGTTCCCGGGTGGAAGGCTTACCCTCCTGTCCCTCGGCCTTCATAGATGCCTTGACCCGTGATGTCTAAGGGCTCCCTGTGGCTGAGGACACGATGCCCAGATCCCTGCAGCCTGAGATCCTGTCCATTCTGGTTTCCAGCATTCTAGCACCTTCTACAGTCCAGATGCACCGCAGTGCTTCCAGTCCCAGCGACACTCGGTGCTCTCCATTCCTCTTCCACGGCTGCTCGCCCTGCAGTTTCTAGTTGGGCCCAGTCTGACCTCGGTGGAGGAAGTCTCCTGGCCCTGGATCAGACCCTGGGCTTTCCTTCCCATCTGGGGTCACATCTGGGTGCCGCCTGCCCCTCTTGCAGCCACACCGGGGAACAGGACCCCCAGCGGCACCTGCCTTGGTCCACACCCAGCGCATGTCCTGTGGCCAGGGCCAGATGGGAGGGCGGAGAAGACTTGCAATGAAGAAGAAAGGCCCTGGGTCGTCTCCCCTTGAGTTCTCCCGTCCCCACACACTGTACCCAAAGTGCAGGGACACCGGGGATGGACAGAGGCTGGGACAGCAGGAGGTCACACCATGAGGCTCCCCCAGCCCTGCACTAGGGTGCGACCCCACCCCCAGCCACCTGTCCCCAGCTCACCCACTGGTGCACAACCTACAGAAACAGATTGGGGGGCCGGTGAGATGGCTCAGTGGCCTAAAGCACCTACTTAGAACAAGCTTGGCAAAACAGAGGGACCGCGGTTCAATCCCCCAGCACCACATGCCAGCCAGCCCTGCCCCCTGGTGGGCTGAGCTGGCCACACACACACACACACACACACACACATAAATAAATAAATAAATAAATAAATAAAATTTAAAAAAAAAAGAAACAGATTGGACAGGAAAAGAACGGGGTGCATGCTCTGCGTCACGCTACACGCATCTGGCCGCCATAGAGCAGCTGGCACCGCACCCCGCACCACCACGAAGCCGCCTCTGGCTCCTGAGGGACCTCATTGTCCTCCATTCTGCCTAAGCACGCACGCCGCACGGTGAGCTCTCCTGCACGTGAGCACACATCAATTCTCAGGGAACTGCAGAATCTTGGCCAGGGTAATGTCAAAGGCTTTGGCGACACAGTGGTGACATGATAGCGTGGGAAGGGAGGATTGGAGGAGAAACGTGAAAGAGCCCCTCAGTGGCCAGTTTTCTAAACAGGTCAAGTACGAGGCCCTATGACACAAGGTGCCCTCCTTACCCCTCAGTACGGAGAAGTGGGTGCACTGACTCACCCGATGTCACACCCCTGGCAACTTATAAAGAAAATTGAATCCTCAGTCTGTCTGGGCCAAAACCCATGCCCCAGAGGAGTTCTAGCTGTCTGCCGGTGTGAGGTGAACATTCCGGACAGGAAGCACAGCACCTCCCCGCTGCAAGCAGCCCTGAAGCCTTCCCTTCTCCCAGCCACAGAGCTCCAGAGAAGCAGCTGTGCTGGGTGACCGTCCGTCCGTCTGTCCGTCCGTCCGTCCATCCGCAGTGTGGCCAAAGGGAGACACCCTGCAGCACCAGGTGAGCCGCCCTCATCCCTGGCAAAGGCATAGACAAAGACGCCGCGATCGCTCCCACAGAAGTCCCCAGCCCCAATCAGAAGCTCCCTTGTCAGACTAATTATACTTATGGGTGTTCTGTGACTTGCTGTATTCCCAGAAAAAGAAAGAAAAATGAAGTTCTCTTTCAGGTTTTCAGGGTAGATAATGTCAAATATTTACAGAGCAAACATCATTCTGGAGGCGCACCATTCTCCTGCTGCTGATTAGGGGGCTGCCAATCAAGCCATGACGGGAGGCCTGTCAGCCCTCTCAATAGAAAGAGAAACCTCCTGTCACAGCAGCTGAACCCGGCACTGCCACGCTGGGGTGACAGGGGCGGCTGCCAAGGAGGGCCTCTGAGGGAAGGGGCTCTGGGAAGGTGATCAAGGGGCCTCCGGTGGGAAAGCCGGTGGCTCCCACATAAACCAGGGCTTCTCAAACACCGCACGTGGCAGCCTCTGGTCCGGGCTGGGTACCGCAGCCAGGTGCTGTGGCCACAGGGTGTGAGAGGCCTCCAATGAGCCCAGCGAACCTGCTCGGCCCTGGGGCTCCTCTGGTTCTGCTGCTGTGCTGCGGACCACCTTAGAACCAGCTGCAAGCTTCTGCCATTCCAGCCATGAGCCGGAACCTCAGCTCTTGCCACCTAGCAGCTTGTGAGAAGCAGGAGCCTGGATCTACCAGAGCTACTGAGCAGAATGGGCCTTCTGCTCTCCTCTCGTGCTGCCGGGTACTGAACTGAGCCGCTACCTCGGCCTTTTTTTCAATTTTGGGCAAGATCGCACGGATCCCAGAGTTGCTCAGTCGGGGCTCCAGCGTGCCATCCCCCTAACTTGTCGCCCACGGTGCTGGAGTTATGACAAGGTGATGCATCTGAACAAGATCTCTGTTGGTAATGGCACATATTGAATTCTGGGAAGCACTGTCTAACCCCAGTACACATCAGAACCACCAGAAGCAGCTGTGGCCTGCAGCTTCTTCTGGGCCCCACCTTGCTTAAATAATGGCAGTCCCATGAGGGGAGAGGCACCAGGAGCAAGGAGGCACCTGAGAGGCTCCCAGGGCCAGCATCTGCGGCGCAGGGCACTGGGGTGACTGACGTGCCCTTCCCTGTAACCCTGCGAACCTTTGTCTGCTCGTTTACAGAAATGCACCCAGGCAGGCCTGCTCGTTCATTGTGTGGATAATGAAACATGGTCCAAGCGCTCGAGGCGTCTCGCGTGCGTGAATCCACACCGTCTCAGCAAGCTGGGTGCTTCCCGCCTGCTGCGGAGAAGCTCTCGCTCACCCCTCGGTGGAGAGCGCTGGGAACAGCAGTTGATCTCCTGAGAAATCCGAGGATTCAGTACGGAAGAAAGCGCCCGTCTCCACGGCCCCATACTCACTCGCGCTAGCCCAGGCTGCACCAAGCTGGGCCCCCAGGGCAGGCGTTCAACACGGCGACCCCAAGGCCGAGGTTGGAGAGCACAGGCTTCGAACCTTCGGCCCCTCTTCACTATGGGGCCTGCAACAACCTGCAGAGGCACAAAGATGCTGGAGGCCTGATCTGCCCACGAGCAGCTCCTGCGTGCCAGCACGCCCCCGCAGTGTGGTCGCTGCGCGCACGCACGGACAGGCGGCATTTGCAGCAGATGAGGCAGCTCTGCGTAAATCCCCCTGCTTTTCTCCACCTCACCATCAGCAACCATCTCCTTCTCTCCCCTCGGTCTGAACAAAGATCAGCTTACTCCGGCACGCACTCCACATATCTAGGGGCCCTCACCGCGCTCCGCCCCCCTCCCCAAGCCCTACTCTAGAGCCTCCTGCACCCCCTTCTCATCCTCTAGATGAGGGGCTCCTTCTGGGCCGCTGCCTAACCTGGCCCCAAAGCGAGCAAGCTGGTGCTGCTCCGCACCCATGCGCTGTTGACGCCCGCGGAAGAGGGGCTCCCTTCCCCCTCGCTCCCCTTAATCCACTGCAATGTTTTCTACCCCGGTCTGCTCCAATCCATAACTTGGGGTGGGCGAGTCTGCCTCACTCGAAATGACTGCGTCTGGAGACCTTCCTCCTTGTCCGGCATGGAGGGTGCTGCTGCGTACATGGAATGGACGGAGAGGCCCAGGCTGCGGCCAAACATCGCCCACCGTGCCCGGGGATCATCCGTGCCCAGGGAAGAAGCAGGCCCCAAGGGCCAGTAGGGCCTGGCTGAGGCTCCTGCTCACATGGCGACAGTGGTGGGGTCAGGGTCAGGACCTGCGATGACCAGGAAGTATTTGTGGAATGAATGAGGGGGGATGAGTATACAGTGACTCAAGCTGAGAGCTCATAGCCCACACCCCCGCATATCTGAGCCTTTGATTTTTTACCGCCTGTGTTAGTTGATACATTGGGTCGACTTGGCTGAATCAGCCCTGGCAGTTCTCGGAGTGGGGCGCAGCCCTGCAGGCGGGCAGGGCCCAACCTGAGGCACTATTGGGCCAGCACTGGATGTGATTGGTTCAACCCTAGGGCCATGGGCCACCACAGCACAAGAAGTGTATATAAAGGAACTGAGGAAGGCTTCCGGCCCTGCCCAGCTTCAGTGGAGAAGTCCCAGTCTTCGGAGGAGCTTGATCTTCTCAGTGGTGCCACTTTGGAGGAGCTCCGATCTTCGCCGAGAAGTGCCAGTCTTCAGAGTCAGCTTAGAAGGAAGAGAGAGGCCTGATGGCCGCTGCCGCAGCTGCTGCTCCTCCTCTGCTCTGCATTGTTTTCTGCCGCATGAACGGCTGTCGTTTGCTTGGAGCCAGCAGAATATGGACTGAACCCTCCAGTAACTGAGCCAAATAAACCTTGGAGTGCCTGGTATTTGTCCCGGCAACGAGTAAAAAAGTAACTAAGACACTCCCATACACACGCCCATGCACACACACACTTGCATGCACACATTTGTTCACGCAAGGGGCGGCACTTCTGGATCTCCTCAGCTCCCCTTGTAGCATCCATCAGCTCCTGGCTTTAGGTTCCAGTGAAGGTACCACCTTTCCTGATCCCCTGATCCCTGGGGAATGACCAAGAGCACAGCAGCTGGGTCACACCCCAATGGGCTGGCTAAGTGGAGACCACTGACAAGAAAGAGCTTGTGCTAAAGTATGGAAATAGATATATCTATTGAACAAATGAATTTGTGCAAGAATTATTCATTAAAATATTAATGTGGCTTCTTCAGTTTGCAGTACCAAAATAGCAGGCGATCTTTCTACCCCCTCCCTCTGAGAGCAAGCCTGAGCGCCATTTCTCTTTCCCCTGGGGGAGGATAAAGAGGGCTCTGCTTCAAGTAGAGGACCTGACTGTCCAGAGAAGGGGGACACTTGAGGGTTGGGACAGGGAAGCATGGAAACACTGGCCCAGCCCTTGGACTGAGAACCTGCAGGGGACACAGTGGGATCCCAGGGATCCAGAGGAGGCTGCAGACCAGCAGAGGTGCAGGGCTGAAACCTGCAATTCTCTGCATTTGGACAATGGGTACCCAGCCCTGGGGACTGCAGTTGAGAGCCTCGAGTGGCAGGTGGTGGTGGCTCCCCACTCTGCCCGGAGTAAAGGCACTGTGGGCAGAGAACATCTCACTTTTCATCACAGTGCACCAAGACCAGAAGTGCATCTCTCTAGAGCCCCAGGGCTTTGTTTAACTCTAGGAAGAGGAAGGATTTCTCCATAAATCTGACTGACAGAAGAAAGCCTCCTCCTAGCTGGGCCACACCCCACAGGCACCCAGTACAAGCCACCCATGTGTGAGGCTCATGCACATGGGGGTCATAGTTGCTACATCTAAAGAAATAAGAACAGAAGAAAATGAACTTGATGTCAAGCTCATGAGCTCAATGTGTCCAAAATGTTGTTTCAACATCCAATCAAAATTTAACATTTTTTTATGCCTGTGATCCCAACACTCTGGAGGCTGAGGCAGGAGGATCACTGTGAGTTCGAGACCAGCCTAGACTATAAAGGGAGTTCAAGGCTAGTCTGAGCTGCATAGGGAAATCCTGTCTCAACAACAACAACAACAAAAAATTAACAGTTTTAATAGCTCTTGGTTGTTTAGTCCTCAGTCTTCACAGTGCAATGCCCACTTTACACTTCAGCACATCTCAGGACAGGGCCCCATTTCAAGTGCTCAGAGCCACCCGGGAGGACAGTCACCCCAGGGTCACTCAGCCTTATAGTTGAGATGTTCACCCCCACACAAGTGACATTAAGTATCACCATAACCGCGCTCAGAAATGGGACCTTGAGGAGCTGACTGCTTCTCAGGCAGATCAAGTCTGGCATCTCAAGCGTGAGCTCATCACCAGCCTTCCCGTCCCCTCCCTTCTTTACTCTCCCTTTGCTCCTGTGTCACATGTGCCCTCTGCCACAGGAAGATACAGCACGGAGACACCCACAGCCTGACCGTGGACTCCCAGCCTCCAGAATGGCCCAATATGACCACCTCAGATATTCTGTCATAGTGGCCCCCAGCGGACCAAGCTAAGGACTTGCTACCCCTTCTGGGTTCTTTATAATTGTCTAAAATTTATTTTCCTTTTTTGAGAGAGAGAGAAAGAGGGTCTCAGTGTGCAGCTCAGGCTGGCCTTGAACTCACGGCGATCCTCCTGCCTCAGCCTCCAGAGTACTGGGATCAATGGCATGCATCGCTGTGGCCGGCTGTTCTCCTCCTTTTTCTAATGGTGGCGCTCACACACCTCCTGGAGAGTTGTCTCTGTGTTAGTCATCTCTTGCTGCTTGCTCTGGACCGAACTGTGTCATTCCCTAAAAGACATGTTGATATCTAATGCCCAGGATGTAGGACGGCGCTTGTGTTTATAGATGAGGCTTTAGCGAGGCAGCCAAGGACAGACGAGACCATGAGCACGGGCCCTGCTGCGGTGCAGGAGGCGCGCTGGGAAGACTTCATGGCAAGACACTGGGAGGAGATGGCCGTGGCCATGGCCAAGCCAAGGATGCCCTGGGCCCCTGGAAGCTGCAGCAGGCCAGGGGTCACCGCTCCCTGCCCCCTCAGGGCACAGGGACCTACTGACATCCCACTGAGGACTTTTCTGGTGTCTGCTGAGGCAATGCGTTCCTGTGGCTCTAAGCCAGCCACTTTGTGGCACCCTATGGCCTTAGCAACCAACATACTACAGTAATAATTCATCCTCAAATGTAGCTACCTACAGCATCATGTGTGTAGCACCAGCATCTCTGGGTCAAGGACCCCTGGTTTAGTTGTTGCTCAGGGCTGGAGTCATCTTAAAGTTTGACTAAAGCAGAAGTCATTTCCGGGGGAAAATCAGTGGTTCCCTAGGCTACATCTAATTTCCCTGGGGCTGTTGGGCTGAGCTCCTCCCTTCCTTATTTGTTGTCAGGCTAAGAGCTTCCCTTCCTCATTGGCTGTTGTGGTGAGCACCTCCCTTCCTTATTGGTTGTCAGGCTAAGGGCCTCCCTTTCTCATTGGCTATTGGGCTAAAGTCCTCCCTTCCTCATTGGCTCAATGGCCCTGTTCTTCAGTGGCTGGTAAAGGATGACTCCTGTTTCTCATTGGCTGTTGGCTAAGGGCCTCCCTTCCTCATTGGTTATCAGGCTAAAGGCCTCCCTTTCTCATTGGTTGTTGGGCTGAAGGTCTCCCTTCCTCATTGGCTGAATGGTCCTGTTCTTCACTGGCTAATAAAGGATGACTCCTGTTCCTCATTAGCTGTTAGCTCAAGTTTCAGTCAGTTCATTGCTACATGGGACTCCAAGATAGAAGGCAAGAGGGTACGAGGAGATGAATTCTACGATGAACTTCGGGCGGATCTGAATCACTGGGTGACATGCTCAGGGCCCCAATCCTCCTCTTCCTCCCCCCTCGTCTTCCCAGGAACTGTTAACATCAGCCCAGATAAGCCCAAGCTTCCTGCGTCGGTGACATTTCCCAGCTTATCAGCTTAAAGCAGAGAGAAAACACATACCCATACTTGGTAGTGTGTGTGTGCATGTGAGTGTGTGTGTGCGTGTGAGAGTGTGTGTGTGTGTGTGTGCATGTGAGAGTGTGTGTGTGTGTGTGCATGTGAGAGTGTGAGTGTGTGTGTGTGTGTGAGAGTGTGTGAGTGTGTGTGTGTGCATGTGAGAGTGTGTGTGTGTGAGAGTGTGTGAGTGTGTGTGTGTGTGTTCCTGGTTTGCTCACATGTACTGCCTTTCTTTGATATTCTGAAATCAAGCAGCACTGCTGGGGGACCTCAGCAAACATTTGGTCATAGCATATCTGCAGAGAACCATTTTCTGAGCTGGCCACACCCAGTCAAACCCCCTGCCTCCCCACAGGCTCTTCTGGCTGTCAGGCAACGGGCTCGTTTTCTGAGAAAGACTCATGATGTACTGAAGAAAAGCTTAGGAAATAAACTCTCATTCCCAAAGGAGCAGTCTACTCGCTCTGAAATATTCGATTTACGGCCCACATTGAATCTTGTGTCTATAATTTACTGCCCTAACTACAAAGGAGGTTTTTTTTTTTTTTTTTTTTAAATACAAACCAACTTCAATATATTTTACTATTTTCCTTGCGTCTGTTAAGGCAGAAATAAGAAACTTCTCTAGAAGAGTAGAAGCCAAGTGAAGTAAAGATCCACAGGATTCCCCTTGGCCTCACCTCAGCCTGTCAGGCTCTGCCCAGGGGCCTACAGTTGTGTTTGGTTCTCTGAGCATTCGGATTCACCGTCGCCTTCCCAGGAGTCCGGACAGCCGCACAGCTCTTGAGAAGACAAGAATGGGTTGTTCAGCGAGCCTTTATTTCTGAGCATGGTAGCACACACCTGTAACCCCAGCACTTAGGAGGCTGAGGCAGGAGGATCAAAATGAGTTTGAGGCCAACCTGGGCTGCAGAGCGAAATCCTGTCTCACCCTCTCCCAAAAAATGTGACCGTGTGTCAAGAATCATTCTAGGTGCTAGAAACCCAACAGTACATAAAGAAGACAAAAATTATCCCCCTTGAAAGAGCTGCCATTCTAGACATGAGGAAACAAATAAGCAAAAGACAGGCTATGGGGAATGAACACTTAGGGCTCACACCAGTCCTCACTAAGACGCTCCTCCAGGCAGTGCGCGGAGAAGCTCTCTGCAGGTGAAGGAAACACGACTGCAATGAACAGAACATTGGCCAGTTGACGCTGGCGAGGGGTTCCCGGGCTACCCACCTGGAACTCGCAGGAGGCTCAAGCAGATCAGACAGAGAAGGCTGTTGCCACCCACCCAGGCAAGGACGGGTGAACCACAGTGGGAGGATGCGGTTAGATCGTAGATACCTTTTAAAATGGCCCTTGTGATACTGTGGTTTCTCTTCAGATTGTATACATGCTTTGCCTTTTAAAATTGCCCCTAAGGGCCAGCCAGGTAGCTCAGCGGATTAAAGCACTTACAAGCAGGCACAGGGGCCAGGATTTGATCCCCAGGCCTGCAGTGCCGGCCCCGCCCCCAGGGCACACTGAGGCGGCAATCGAGACTGGGCAGGTTGGCACACACCTGTAATCCCAGAACTTGGGAGGCTGTAAACAGGAGAATCACTGAGTCCAATCTAGTAGTGAGACCCTGAGCACCCTGTAGACCCTTCCCAAATAAATAAATAAAT